TGGGGGCTATTTCGTTTTAGTGCTCTATGTTTCTTGAGGCAGAGTTGGTTATGATTATCTAAGTCTGCAAGCTAGTGCCATATGTATATATTGCCATATATGTCTATCTCTCTATGTAATGATCATAAGTGCATTCCTACAACATAGAAAATATTTCATAATTAATTTTTGCAATGATAAACTAGTATTTAAAACAATGAGAGCAGAACCATACATAGTGCTTGGTAGACAGAAGTTGCTCCATATTTATAAAGAGAACAACAATAATATCTTTCCTATCATTCCAAGTTGGAGCATTCCTGGCACTCAATTTGAGCTTACTCGATAGTGTACTCACAAAGGAACCAAAACACGTGGTTTACATGTTGGAGTTATGCAGTTTCCTCTGTACCTCAGTTACATTTTCTATTTCACTGGACTCATCTGGGGACACTTGGCATCCCTGAGCACTTAACTTTCCCATGTTTTCCTGGTTCTCATCTAGACCCCTGAGAGTTCTCAGCCTCTTTTGTGGTTATGGCTAGTAGGAATCCAGTGTAGATCTCTTACCTTTTTATTTGACATGGTTACTTGTTGGTGTTCATTTGTTTGTTTGTTTGTTTGTTTGTTTGAATAACCTGATCTATTTCTGTGGTGTTGGTTATCAGTATGTTGGTGACATTTTTTTCAGAGGCAACAGTTTCCTAAAGTATTCCTACTGTTAAAGGGCAACCCCGATATAAAATAAAACAGATTGCCTGGCTGTGGGTCCTCACCTGCGTGCTTAAAAGGGACTTATTAATACTCCACTACAGGCACACACAAAAGGTTAATAAAAGGTTTATTTTCATGGGAAAAGGAAATAAGGAAATGTACAACTCAGGGAGAAAATAGGGAAATAAAGTCTTTAATGAGTCCTACCCGATCCGCCGACCTGGAAACCCAAAAAGCACTCTCCAAGCTGGCCGGACGCTGCGAGCTGGCGGAGAGTCAAAATGGGGGACCCCTCCAAAGCCCACGTGTCTGGCTTTATACCAACCTGGCTGCTTAACCCCACCCTCAGGTCCCATCCACCTTCCCTTTGGTCGTGATGGGATTTGGAGTTCCCAGTGTCTTTGGCTTTGGCCTGGGGTGGGGGTGGAGTCCACAAAGCCTGTATGGAATTAGCTTTAGGACATCCTTTTCCCCCTAACACTAACTGCTGCCAGACAACTTCATTTTTATATTATGTAGATGCTTTTAGCTCTCAGCTATATAACACTGTCCTCTCTATTGCAATATTCCATCATTATGCTTCTCTTACTGTCACTAGCTGCTCTCATGGCTAATGACATTGGTTGTTCAATTTAGGAAACTAACAGTCATCTTAAATGATTGTCACCTCCTCTTATATCACCAATCCCAGGTAGTTCTGTCTATTAAACAGGTCTCGAATTGACTCTGTATCATATGTTCCCAAAGCCACTATGTTGGGTCAGAAACTCAAGACCTCTGACACAAATTGTCTCTCCTTTTTAATGTTGATAAAATTCTCTTTAAAACAGACATATGAGCATTTCATTCCCCTGCTAAAATAAATACCAGTGACTCTGATTGCCTAACTTACTTTTCTCTATGGTGCCTCAAGGGAGATACTGAGGCTCAAAAAGAAAATATTGAGATTTCTATTTACATTTATCCCCACTTAATGCAATATTTAATATTTACTAAAGAATGTGACATGCATAGGAGCTGTCAAGTATAATAATAAAAGAAGATCTATGAACTCACCACTAACATGTCTTTTAACCTCACCAGACTCTCTCAGCCACCTTTGTTTCACCTTTCCTTACTCCTAATCCCACCGCCTACCTCGCCCAAGATACATTTTGGGTTGTTTTTTTTTTTTTGCAATTTCCTTACTTTTTCATAGGTTTAACACATATGCATTTATTAAGAAGTAATGTAGCATCTGTTTGTACTTGAACTTTTAAAAAGTAGTATCACAGTATTTGGTCTTTGTACTTGAGTTTTTAAAATAGTATTACGTTTTAAAGATTTGTTCATGGTGTTGCATGATGTTTTCATTTTTTTTTATTTTTACTGAGTAGTAATATTCCATTATGCAATCATATCAAAAGCTATTTATTTACTCTCCTGGAGGATATTTGGAGTCCTTCAAAGCTTAGCTATTATGGACAACATAAAGAGTGTATTGTCGATTCACTTGTTGCACCTATAAAGTTTTCAGAAATATACCCAGGAGTGGAATTTTTGAGTCACAGAATAGGCAAGTGTCCCAAATTAATATACTGGCAGTTACATAGATACGTGTTTTATTTTAAAATGTATAAAAGGCACATTAAGGATGAATACAAAAACCATTTTTTTTTTCTGAATAGAAAAAAAGTTTAGAGACCATGGATTTATAGAGTAAAACATAACCCACAGGCTTTGCGCCAAACTTCCTTTTTCATTTCTATTTTCCCTAAGCAAGTCTCTTAAACTCTTGTTGCTACAAGTTTCCACTGCATTTATCATTATGATAGTACTTATCAGGTTGAGTGATTATTGTTTATTTCATGTTCATCTCCTCACCTAAACTTTATAGTCAAGAGCAGAGTTGCAATCTCATTTGTTTTTATATCTTTAGTACCTAGCCCCGTGCAGTAAGCAAAAATTAAGTATTTACTGAATGAATGAACAAATGCAAAATGGTAGTAATGCCATCTTATATAGCTGGAAATATTAAGAAAACATCACAACAAAATCCTGCATATTCTGGGGGGAAATTATTATATAAATTCTTATTTATAAGAAGTATCATATAAAGGTATTACTGTTTTGTGCTCGGTATTACTGTATTTAATCAATGATGTTCTATATCCTGAATATAAAAATACAAGTTTAATTTAAAATTAATCAGTAATGTCTCACTGTTTTTTTCCCTTATCTTCACCTTCAATGTACTAGCACCACAGCAAAGCAATGGGAAATTCTTTTCAGTGTCTAACTTATGTTCTCTTCATTAATATTTTTAGGATAAGGTTATGTTAGAACAGAAAGATAATTCCACTAGGAATCAGACAGACCAAAGTTTGGGTTTTTGGTTAGTCATGCAGTTTTCACAAATCACTCCATTTCTTTCGTAATCTATATACAAATTTAAAAGAACCATTGCTTATTAACACATGTCAGGCACAGTGAAATGCACTTTACAGGGATTACCTCACTTAATAATGGGCATAGGGCTTCCCTGGTAGCCTAGCGGTTAAGTCTTACCACTATCACCACCCCAGCCTGAGTTCGATCCCTGGCCAGGGAGCTAACCCACATGGCTCAACAGACCTCTCCTGTCTCACCTGCTGCTCCCCTCAGCAGTGTATTTCAGTCAATCTGCCTGTTCTGTTCCCCACTCTGTCTCTGGTGAATCCTCTCACCCCAAACCCCCTGGCCTATACTCCAGCTCTTGTATGCATAAATAAATAAAACTTTTAAACAATAATAGGCAAAAATATTATCCCTATTTTAGAAGTATAAATTGAAGGTTAGCTGGTTAATCAACTTGTTCAAGGTCTAGACACAAGTCACATGGCATTTATCACCTTTCTTTGGAATTTGGTTTTTTCCTCTTTTTTCTTTTTTTTAAAGATTTATTTATTTATGCATAAATAAATACCTGTACCTGGGGTACAGGTCAGAGGTATGGGGGGGTGAGAGGATTCACCAGAGACAGAGTGGGGAACAGAACAGGCAGATCCACCAAAGTACACTGCTGAGGGGAGCAGCAGGCAAGGCAGGAGAGGTCTGCTGCGCTATGTGGGTTTTTCCCTGGCTGGCTGGACATCAGACTCGTGCTGTAGAGGCTGCAGACAGCTTCATAGATTGCGTTTTAACCTCATGCGCCACCAGGGAGGCCCTTTTTTTCTTTTTTAAGCAATTGTGCTGTTCTATTTTTCCCTGGCTTCACCGCAAGAATTTGCGGAGAATTAAATGAGACAAACTATGTGAGAATCATCTATGTTTTTAAATATTTTACCTGTTCTACAAATATATATATTGAGGTCTTCACTCTGGTAAAGATAGGAAGTTAAAACTTTCCTCTCCAAAGCTTTCTCAAGGTTCCACCATCGGGAAGCAACACAAGGAGAGGGTAGATTGTTACCAACTGATAGTAGCTGCTACTCTCAGCAAAGCTAACGTAGGACACCAAAGGTATTGACATGGCAGTGGTGGCATGCTTGGCCCAAACATATAGCAGACTTTATACACATGTCTTGAAATAAGCACTAACTACAGCCTTGTTTGAGACCAGGCACCGGATGCAATTAGTCATGCATTTCTCACATACCTGGGGGGTCAGTAGGTACTTTTAACTCCAGACATTTGACTGTTATCCCAAAGCAAACTATGCCCCTGGGTAAAAGCAGCTCTTGTTCAAGGTAGAAAAATATTCTTTCAGTGAGAAAGTGTGCATTCCAGATACACAACAGGGATGCTGGGTAAGAGTTTGTCCTGGGATTTCTAGCCTCATAGCTTCTCTTCATTTTCCACACTTGGAAATGAAGTGTGCTGGAGTCTATACTGATGAATGTCCTTTTTTTATTAGAATGGCCTTTTTGCTATTTGTTGGAGACCCAGAACCTTCCACCAGGGATAGCTTTCCCTTTTCAAATATTTACTTGACAGGGAGAATCTAGAAATTGGAAAATGACTTAAAGACGAGGCAAATCTGATTGCTCAGGTTAACATACGTATTTAGTGTTAGCAAGAGACCAGGTGGAACAAATGATGACTCAGATCTGGTAGCAAAGAAATGAGGCTCTGGGCTTGGGCAACCTACTGAGTGCTTATATAGACGCAAACTCATGCCCCTGCCCCTTCTGTATGTTCAGAAATACTCCTTTCTCTGCATTTATCCCTACATCTGCATTTAACCCTACCTCTAGATCATAAGCTCCTTAAGGGTAACATTTCTCTATTTCTTTAACTGTTTGTGCTTTGACTATCCTTCACAACATAACAGATTCTTAGTAAATTCTCCACTCATTTTTTTTTTTTTGTAAGATTTTTATTTATTTATCAGTCTACTACCGAAAAAAAGTACTGGAATATAATCCCACTTCAGTATATAATCCCTCTTTATCAGTCCAATAAAAATTAAAGTATTCCAACTGGTAAAGTCTTTGAGACTTGCTTGGGAAACAAAATTAATGCATGTCAGAATAGCAACAAAGCCAAATAATTTTCTTACAAAGATTACCCCATTTATTATTATGTGCTGGCAGTGGTCTAAACTATACAATTTCTACTGGTCTTTCAATTCCTTCAGTCTTCTGATGGCAGACTTTACTGTGACGGCAGAAGTAGTGTTGTAGGTCCAGGCACCACCAGCCACCGTTTTCATGCAGGAACCACAGTGCCAGATTCCCACAGCTCGCCTCTTCATCTTGGTTTTGCCACAGAAGGAGCAAGTGTACTTGGCGTGCTGGCTGATTTCAATCTTCTTCACCATTTTCCTAAGGGAGGCACCGTAACGGGTCCCATATTTACCGACGATCCCCACCTTCTTGGTTCGTTTGGCCATGTTGCCCTAAGGTGGGTGAGCGCCCAGAGAGCATTCTCCACTCATTTTTGAAAAACAAAATGAGCATGTTTATTTATAATTTAAATGAATAAATACATGGATAACAAAGAAAATGAAGGACTTCAATGATAACAGCAGTGTGTATAGCTAAAAATTATCAGCAACCATCACCAGTATATTTAAAGAGTTATTCATGAATAAAATATGTAGAGTCAACAACATACAAAAGTTGTCAGGATTCTTGATTTCTCCTTTTGTGCTTCCTTTCCTCCTACAGCTAACTACAATTAATGGTCAGTAATAAAATATGAGCTACTAATGCCAAATTTGGGATCCTGGTTTCTCAAGAGAGAATAGAAACCAACATTTGCTTTGTTTTTAGTATGTGCTATTATATATTCTCTCACAAGTTATCTCATTTAATTCTTTTTTTTTTTTTTTCCAATTTTTTTTTTTTTTTTTTTTTTTTTTTTAATAAATTTTATTGTTATATTCCCCATACAATTGCAGCCCCCCCATTCTGACCCCAATCCCTCCCCTCCACCCCCCGCCCCCCTAAAAGTGTCTCTGGTTCATAGTTTTTTGTTGATTTTGATTTTCACTTTCTTATAGTTATTCATTTTCCTGGTCCCTTATTTAAGTTTTCTAGATTCCTGCTATGAGTGAGACCATCCGGTATTTTTCTTTTTCTTTTTGGCTTATTTCGCTGAGCATGATCCCTTCCAGCGCCATCCATGTTGCTGCAAATTGCATGTGTTTATCTTTTTTGAATGCTGAGTAATATTCCATGGTATATATGTACCACATCTTCTTGATCCAGTCATCTATTTTTGGGCATTTGGGTTGTTTCCAAAGCTTAGCTATTGTAAACAGTGCTGCTATAAACATAGGGGTGCAGGTGTTCTTTGGAATTGATGTTTCTGTGTCCTTTGGGTAAATACCTAGGAGTGGAATTGCTGGATCATATGGAAGTTCTATGTTTAGTAGGTCCAGAAATCTCCATACAGCTTTCCACAGTGGTTGGACCAGTTTGCACTCCCACCAACAGTGCAGAAGAGTTCCTTTTTCTCCACACCCTCGCCAACATTTGTTGTTGCTAGTTTTTTTAATATGTGCCATTCTCACTGGTGTAAGATGGTATCTCATGGTAGTTTTGATTTGCATTTCCCTGATGACAAGTGATGTTGAACATTTTTTCATATGCCTGTTGGCCATTTGCATTTCCTCTTCAGAGAAGTTTCTTTTAAGCTCTTCTGCCCATTTTTTGACTGGATTATTTTCTTTGTTGTTGTTGAGTCTCATCAGCTCTTTGCAGATTTTTGTGATCAGTCCTTTATCATTAGTGTTGGGTGCAAAAATGTTCTCCCAGTTGGTGGGGTTTCTCTTTGTTTTTGTTATTGTCTCTTTTGCTGTGCAAAAGCTCTTTAATTTGATGTAGTCCCAGCTGTTTATCTTTGCCTTCACTATCACTGCTTTGGGTGATGTGTCTGTAAAGATGTCTTTGATGTGCAAATCACGTAGTGTTTCGCCTATATTTCCTTCTATGTATTTTATGGTTTCAGGTCTTATGTCTAGTTCTTTAATCCATTTTGAGTTGATTTTTGTGTATGGTGTGAGGTGGTGGTCAAGCTTCATTCTTTTGCATGTAGCGACCCAGTTTTCCCAGCACCATTTATTGAACAAACTTTCTTTGCTCCAATGCATATTCTTTGCTCCTTTGTCAAAGATTAGTTGACCATAAATCTGTGGGTTTATTTCTGGATTTTCTATTCGATTCCATTGGTCTGTATGTCTGTTCTTGTTCCAATACCATGCAGTTTTGATGATTATAGCTTTGTAGTATAGTTTGAAGTCTGGGAGTCTGATGCCTCCATTCCCTTCTTTTTTTTCAGGAGAGCTTTGGCTATTCGGGGTTTTTGGTGATTCCATATGAATTTCATCAATAATTGTTCTATTTCTTTGAAGAATGACATTGAAATTTTGATTGGAATAGCATTGAATCTGTATATTGCTTTTGGTAGGATGGCCATTTTAATAATGTTTATTCTTCCAATCCATGAGCAGGGGATGTCTCTCCATTTCTTTGTGTCTTCTTCTATTTCTTTTAACAGTGTTTTATAGTTTTCTTTGTATAGGTCCTTTACCTCTTTTGTTAGATTTATTCCCAAATATTTGATTTTTTTTGTTTCAATAACAAAAGGGATGGTCTTTTTGATTTCTTCTTCTTCAGATTTATTGTTTGTGTATAGGAAGGCTACTGACTTTTGCGTGTTGATTTTGTATCCTGCCACTTTACTGAACTGATTGATGAGTTGAATTAGCTTTTCTGTGGAGTTTTTGGGGTTCTCTATGTATAATATCATATCGTCTGCAAATAGTGATAGTTTGACTTCTTCTTTTCCTATTTGGATTCCTTGGATGTCTTTCTCTTGTCTTATTGCCCTGGCTAGGACTTCCAGTATTATATTGAAAAGCAATGGTGAGAGTGGACATCCTTGTCTTGTTCCAGATCTTAATGGAATTGCTTTCAGCTTTTCACCATTGAGAATGATACTGGCTGTTGGCTTGTCATAGATGGCCTTTATGATGTTGAGGTATGTTCCTTGTATCCCCAGAATTTCAAGGGCTTTTATCATGAATGGGTGTTGCACTTTGTCGAAAGCTTTCTCAGCATCTATTGATATTATCATATGGTTTTTATATTTCTTTTTGTTGATGTGTTGGATAACGTTGATTGATTTTCGGATGTTAAACCATCCTTGTGCCCCTGGAATGAATCCAACTTGGTCGTGGTGAATTATCTTATGGATACATTGTTGGATTCTGATAGCTAAAATTTTATTGAGGATTTTTGCATCAGTGTTCATTAGGGAGATTGGCCTGTAGTTTTCCTTTTTTGTGTTGTCCTTGTTCGGTTTGGTATTAGTGTAATGTTGGCTTCATAAAACGTGTTTGGTATTGTCCCTTCCTTCTCAATTTTTTGGAAGAGTTTGTGAAGGATAGGCACTAATTCGTCTCTGAATGTTTGGTAGAATTCATTTGTAAATCCATCAGGTCCTGGGCTTTTGTTTTTGGGGAGGTTTTTGATTACCATTTCAATTTCGCTAATTGTAATTGGTCTGTTTAGGTGTTCTATTTCTTCTTTATCTAGCTTTGGGTGATTGTAGAGTTGTAGGAATTTGTCCATCTCCTCCAGATTGTTGAACTTGTTTCCATATAACTGTTCATAGTAGTTACTGATTATTCTTTTGATTTCTGCTGTGTCCGTTGTGATTTCTCCTCTTTCATTGATGATCCTGTTTATTTGTGCTTTCTCCCTTTTTTCCTTTGTGAGCCTGGCTAGGGGTTTGTCTATTTTATTGATTTTTTCAAAAAACCAGCTCTTGGTTTCATTGATCTTTTGGATTGTTTTTTTAGTTTCAATTTCATTTATTTCTGCTTTGGTTTTTATTATTTCTTTTCTTCTACTGGTTTTGGGGTTTTTTGTTGTTCTTTTTCTAGATCTTTGAGCTTCGAGATGAGGTTGTTTCTTTGCGTTCTTTCTTGTTTCTTGATGTGAGCTTCTATTGCTATATATTTTCCTCTTATTACTGCTTTTGCTGCATCCCATACATTTAGGATATTAGTGTCCTCCTTGTCGTTCAATTCAAAAAATTTTTTAATTTCTTCTTTGATCTCCTCATTAGTCCAATGGTCTTCCAGTAGTGTGGTTTTTAATCTCCATGAGGTAGGAAAGTTCCTTGCCTTCTTTTTATGGTTTATTTCTAGTTTGATGCCTTCATGGTCAGAAAAGATGGTTGATATGATTTCAATCTTGGTGTATCTGTTGATGTTTGTCTTGTGCCCCAGTATGTGATCGATCCTGGAGAATGATCCGTGTGCGCTTGAGAAAAATGTGTACTCCGTTTTTTGGGGTTTAGTGTTCTATAGATGTCTGTTAAGCCTAATTGCTCTAGGTCCTTATTTAGAGCTTTGGTTTCTTTACTTATTTTTTGTCTTGTTGATCTATCCATTGTTGATAGTGGTGTGTTGAAGTCTCCCACTACGTATGTGTTTTCTCTGATGTCTGTTTTCAGAGAGGACAACAGTTGTCTGATATATTTTGGTGCTCCTTCGTTTGGTGAGTATATGTTAATGAGTGTTATTTCTTCTTGAAGTATTGTCCCTTGATCATAATGTAGTGACCATTGGGGTCTCTTTTTATCTTTTTGAGTTTGAAATCTGTTTTATCTGATATAAGTATAGCTGTTCCTGCTTTCTTTTTTGGCCCATTTGCTTGTAGGATTGTTTTCCATCCTTTAACTTTGAGCCTACTTTTATCTTTTGTAGCTAAATGTGTTTCCTGGAGACAGCAAAAGGTTGGGTTTTGTTTCTTAATCCAGGCTGCCACTCTGTGTCTTTTTATTGAAGAGTTTAGTCCATTTACATTTAGAGTTAATATTGATATGTTAACATCTGTATTTGCCATTGTGTTTGTCTTTCCTTTGATTTTATTTATTTATTCTTTTAATAACTTTTTTTTTTTTTTTGGCCTTCTTTCATTGTTATTCGTCCCTCTGAGGTTCTGGCTTTAGGACTCCTTGTAGTATTTTTTGGAGTGGGGGTTTAGTTGCAATGAAATTCCGGAGTTTCTGTTTGTCTGGGAAGGTCCATATTCTTTCTTCAAAGAGGAAGGAGAGCTTTGCGGGATAGAGTATTCTTGGTTGGCATCTGTTTTCTTGGAGTCTGTTGGCTATGTCCCTCCACTCTCTCCTTGCCCGTAGTGTTTCTTCGGAGAAGTCTGATGTCAGCCTGATTGGTTTTCCTTTGAATGTTATCTGTTTCTTCCCTCTTGCCAGCTTCATTATTTTTTCCTTGTCCTGGATTCTTGGGAGCTTTACTATTATGTGTCTTGCTGTATTTTTCCTTTCGTCGTGGAAGTTTGGTGTTCTTCTTGCTTCTTGTATATCAATTTTCAGCTCCTTCTTCACATTTGGGAAGTTCTCTTCAATTATCTCTTTGAATATTTTCTCTGTTCCTACATCTCTCTCCTCTCCTTCTGGTAT